TATTTTTTAAATTACTTTTATAATTCTGTGTAATCTTTTCAATAATACCAATAACAGTAATAATTAGAAAAAAGTACAAACATTTTTTTTTCTTATTTTCATTGAAGTTTTAAACTTTATTTAATAATTTTGTTTTATATAATGTAATAAAAATAAGACAATGTGTAAAAAGAAATTAAGTTACAGACGAACAAAGTATTATCTTAATTACAATATATTACGCTTATTTTGTAAAATCACAATACAAAAACAAACAAAAAACCGCCGGGGGCCCTTTGCGGCCCCTGGTCTCCTGCCCCACTTCGGCAACGGTGACACGAAACGTTGCCCTGTAGTACTAGAGTGTAGATCAATGATACTGAGCCCTTCAGGTCTATACATAAAAAAGTATGCAAATTTATGATTGATCTTTTTTCTTTAATTATGGCATATTCAAGTGAAAGTAATCAGCACTTTGAATAGCAGGTCACGTTATTCATTACAGTTAATATTACAGTTATTTATTTTTCAAATGTTGCCATGGTATTGGCGGTATTCACTTTTTAAATGTATACTTTATTGATATTACATCCAATCAAATAGTAATTATATAACAAATGATCCTATAGGTATAAGTAAAATAACAAATTATTGCATATAATTTGTTACGAATGACTTCATATACGAACTAAAAGCAATGGAAGTGCGTACTGTGATCACCAAACTTGTTTTTGCGACAGTTTTATTTCTGTTTCACGATGGCAACAATTGATTTATCGGTACAGCAAAACGTTTCTGTAGGGCTATTTATTTATGTGATCATTACATACTTGCCTGTTATGCTGATCACGATACTTGGAAACTTCATCGTTATACTCAGTGTATATCGGAAACGTGAAAAAACTCCAAACAGTATCTTCATCTCATCCTTGGCAATCTTCGATTTCTTAACTGGTTTGATTGGAGTTCCCCTCTGCATGGTTGCATTCCTTCTTCGTAGACAGTTCCATTATATGGAGAACTGTGCGATATGGTATTATGTGCCCATCACAATATTTATTTCTATCTCCGTGCTAAATCTGATCGTGATAACTATTGATCGATTCCTTGCGATTAAATATCCTCTTCGATACCATGTATGGATATCAACTGAAAGAGCATTTCGAGTTTGCATCTGTGTTGATTTGTTTGGTTTTTTTTTCGCAGGAAGTTCATTCGCAATAGGTGCTGTCGCAAGTCTTTTCGTGCCACCACCTAATGTGACGTATGAATACGATTGCGGGAGCTCTGCCATATATGAAATGTACGGAGCACCTGTGTCCTATTACGTCATGGGACCAGTTGTCGGCCTTTCAATTCTTTTCCTGTTTATTCTGTACGCGTATATTTTCTCAATCGCGTCAAAAAAGGCGAAGGAGAATGCCACACGCCACGGAAAGAAGGTTAAAAAAAGAGAAATGAAAGTGACGAAAACCGCAGCTATAGTACTTCTTGCTTATACGCTGTGCACTGCACCAAGTGCTCTTAAAATCATTATTAAAAGACTCATTGATAATGGTTCCACCTGGCTGGTGTGGTATTTGTGGTTTGCAGATTTTCTCATCATTGCTAACTCTATGATGAATCCGTTAATTTATGCAGGAAGAAGTAAAGTAATGAGAAAAGAATTCAAAGAAACTTTTGACTTCATTATCTGCAAGGTATCATCGAGATCTGAAGTAAAAGCGAAATATGACGCAGAGGCATCCTGTAGTCGAAAGTCACCGAAAATTCATTCAGTGACAACGTCATCAGCTAACTTGGCAACTTGTTTGACCAGTACGTCGTCGGCAAGCACTGGTGAAAGTTTTAGTGCAGATTTTAGAGAAAATTAGATAACGTCACGCACTTATAGAAGAATAAAGTGTTTTTTGCCAAGTAAATTGGCCGAAACTCAGCATAATTAATAACTTAATTCATTAGTACGTCATCGGCAAGCCATTGTAGTATGCTGTATTGAAAGAATACGAGTGGATGCTACTTCGAACGAATGCTAGTTCAAGCGGATAATGTGCCAGTTCGAGCGGATGCGAATTTATCCTTTTTTTTTAAATTGTTTTAATGCCAAAATGCAATGTGTAACCATGGACCTATTAATAAGGTCCATGGTGTAACTAAGTTTTTGAATTATAAATTGTTAAACAAAATCTCTCCAACAAATAGGCAATTGTATAAATGGAAGTTAAAACACACTGACACATGTGATACGTGTGGAGCAGTCGAAGATGAAAAGCACATGTTTTTTGAATGTCTAAAAAATAGGATATTATGGGAAAATATAGACAATCTATTTAAGAAACTTGATAACAGTCAATCTTCTCTGTCTCTTATACACATCTAGATGTGTATAAGAGACAGTTGAATAGCAGGTCACGTTATTCATTACAGTTAATATTAGTTATTTATTTTTCAAATGTTGCCATGGTATTGGCGGTATTCACTTTTTAAATGTATACTTTATTGATATTACATCCAATCAAATAGTAATTATATAACAAATGATCCTATAGGTATAAGTAAAATAACAAATTATTGCATATAATTTGTTACGAATGACTTCATATACGAACTAAAAGCAATGGAAGTGCGTACTGTGGTCACCAAACTTGTTTTTGCGACAGTTTTATTTCTGTTTCACGATGGCAACAATTGATTTATCGGTACAGCAAAACGTTTCTGTAGGGCTATTTATTTATGTGATCGTCACATACTTGGCCGTTATGTTGGTGACAATACTTGGAAACTTCATTGTTATACTCAGTGTGTATAGGAATCGTAAAAATACTCCGAGCAGTATCTTCATTGCATCCTTAGCAATTGTTGATTGCTACAATCTTCTTTCTTTTTTGAATTTTCACAATGGCAACAATTGATTTGTTGCTACAGCAAAACGTTTCTGTAGGGCTATTTATTTATGTGATCGTCACATACTTGGCCGTTATGTTGGTGACAATACTTGGAAACTTCATTGTTATACTCAGTGTGTATAGGAATCGTAAAAATACTCCGAGCAGTATCTTCATTGCATCCTTAGCAATTGTTGATTTCTTAACTGGCTTGATTGGAGTTCCCCTCTGTATGGTAGGAAGCTTTCTTCGTAGACAGTTCCTTTATATGAATGGCTGTGCAATGTGGTATTATATGCCCGCCACAATATTGATTTCTATGTCCGTGCTGAATCTGTTGGTGATAACTATTGACCGCTATTAAACAATTTAAATTATATTTTATTCCAAAATACCTTTATTCGATTATACACGTTATTGGTTGTTAAAAAATGATATAATAAAAAAAATAAACGGTAATGCCATAAAGGTAATGAAAAAAAAAATTGATATAGAAGGAAATATTGTACTGTACTGTACTGCTTGTTTAACTAAAGGTGGTGGTTACGCCACGAAAGAGGAAAAAAGTTTTTGAAAGGGTTTTGGTACTTTTAATAATTATTCCATATTTGAATTACAGTCTTGGGAAATCCAACCACCATGGCCGTTAACAAGCACTATATCAGTCTCAAGTATTTGGGAAGGTATAGTTCGGTACGATAACACGTAGGGAAAATAAATCACTCTTATGATATTGTTTTTGTCTGACGCAAACTCACATCGAAAAAAGAACTATAACATTTATTAAATTGTTCACGTTTCATTCTGAATTCACGTTCAGTGCGTTCAACCTGGGGTTTTGTAGTAAAACAAATATAATTATGAATAGGCCTAATGTTAACTGTAATTGAATTTTAAATGTATTGTAATTAAAACTGTATTTTTAAATGTACATTTTTGTAAACGATTAATTGTCATATATATATATTAATGCTTGCGGTACACCACATAACAGAAAAGAACTGTTGTTGTTGTTTAAAAATATCTCATCATTATGATGAGTAATTTTCACCATAATGTAACTTATATTTACATCAAGGTTTCAATGTCCTAACATCATTGGTGTGAGCAACTTTAAGACGGATGCCAGACCGCAGTTCCTGTGTTTATTTTATGCCTCCCTGGTAGCATGCAGAGACTGCAGTTTAATTGGATACAAAATATTACGTTAATTTTTCATTTATTTGATCCAAATATTAGCGGCGTATCTACAGGGAGCTGGATTATTAAAGGAGGGGGTGTTAACTCACAAATAAGGTGATGAGGTGATTTTTAAGCATGATTTTTTTTGCTACAAAGGGGCGGGCGTGGGGCTGTCTCTTATACACATCTAGAGTTGCTGTTTTACTCCCAGCATCCCCTAGATACGCCACTGCCAAATACGTGTAGGAATAAACAATCTATAAGCAGAACAAGGCTAGTATAACAAATACAAATATTAATAAAAATAAATCAAAAAAGGGTTTATCGTTTAAAGTTTTGGTTAAAATAACTGACAACAAATTAATTATACAAATGAATTTTTAAATCGGTTTGTACTACTTTGCCTTGACTGTGCAGTCCAACCTGATTTGTTAAAGATGTGTATTAATACAGCAGTTTATTGGATGAGTACCATTTACAATTATTTCATTTAGTTTTTTACAAGAGCCTTTTCGTGAATTTCTGAGAGAGGGGTTCGCCCCTTTTTTTTATTTGAAGTACTATATTAAACAATAGGCTAGATAATCCAAAAATATTGCAAAGATATTTCTTTTATAAACACAAAAGGGGATAAAATTAAAAAAATCACACAGTGTGATTTCTAAAATTTTATCCACTCATCGTGTGTTCATTTATAAAATAGGAACCCTTGTTTGTGTCTGTTCAGATCGTCTAGCCTACAGTTTAAAAAGGCATTCAAATTTTAAAAAGGGCGTGGCCTTTTTTGTGGCACATTTAAGATAATTTGTAAAAAAGGACATGTGACAATGGTGTGATTTCTGTAATTTTATCCCTTCATCACATATCTTCATTTATAAAAGAAAAACCCTTGTTTACAAGATATCCAGATTGTATAGTGTTAAAGTAGTGCTTCCAATAAAAAAAGTGGCATGGCCCTTATTTTGCATATTTTTAAGCTAATTTCCATATGAATAAAGATGAGATTTCTGGAAACCAAGGACCAGCGCGCCGTGGCGTCATCACGCTGCCATGCGCGTTTTTGCGTGCGCGCTTTTCACGCACGGTTGTTTATGGTTACGTCGTGCTTAATTTCAATAACATAGCAACAGCAAAAAATGGCCTATTATACAGACTTCAGTCTCAATTGCAGCAAAGATGAATAATTAAATAAAAGAACCGTAGGCCTATACAATTATTGTATTTAACTGCAAATGACCGGGAAACAAACAGAGAACCGGCAGCAATTTAGCTACGTCAAAACTAAGCAGCAGTACATTGCAATCGAAACGGCAGATTGTAAGAGACATGGGTATGTACTTACCGAAACGACGTTAGGAACTGGCGCATACGCAAAGGTAAAGCTGGCACGAGTGGTAGAAAAGAAACTCGAGCGATATGAGCGGCTAAGAACTGATTTGAAAGATAAGGGGCACAATTTGGTAAGATTATTATTGTATGTAGGCCTAAGTAAGGCCTACTACTTACTGCTACCGGTCATACAGGCTAGGCCTAGTGTTAATTCATATATGAATTCAAACCAAAGAAAACTAGATGCTAAGAATAAGATAAGAATACGTCGACTATTGATGATCGATGTATAGAATTGTCAATTATCCATAAAGAAAGGGAGTAAAGTAAAAGTATTATTTACGTCATCACTAAATGCAATTAACTAAAATTATAATAAACCCCTTCATAGGTCTGTCTCTTATACACATCTAGATGTGTATAAGAGACAGTTTAAAAAGGGCGTGGCCTTTTTTGTGGCACATTTAAGATAATTTGTAAAACAGGACATGTGACAATGGTGTGATTTCTGTAATTTTATCCCTTCATCACATATCTTCATTTATAAAAGAAAAACTCTTGTTTACAAGATATCCAGATTGTATAGTGTTAAAGTAGTACTTCCAATCAAAAAAGGGGCATGGCCCTTATTTTGCATATTTTAAGCTAATTTCCATATGAATAAAGATTAGATTTCTGGAAACCAAGGACCAGCGCGCCGTGGCGTCATCACGCTGCCAAGCGCGTTTTTGCGTGCGCGCTTTTCACGCACGGTTGTTTATGGTTACGTCGTGCTTAATTTCAATAACATAGCAACAGCGAAAAATGGCCTATTATACAGACTTCAGTCTCAATTGCAGCAAAGATGAATAATTAAATAAAGGAACCGTAGGCCTACACAATTATTGTATTTAACTGCAAATGACCGGGAAACAAACAGAGAACCGGCAGCAATTTAGCTACGTCAAAACTAAGCAGCAGTACATTGCAATCGAAACGGCAGATTGTAAGAGACATGGGTATGTACTTACCGAAACGACGTTAGGAACTGGCGCATACGCAAAGGTAAAGCTGGCACGAGTGGTAGAAAAGAAACTCGAGCGATATGAGCGGCTAAGAACTGATTTGAAAGATAAGGGGCACAATTTGGTAAGATTATTATTGTATGTAGGCCTAAGTAAGGCCTACTACTTACTGCTACCGGTCATACAGGCTAGGCCTAGTGTTAATTCATATATGAATTCAAACCAAAGAAAACTAGATGCTAAGAATAAGATAAGAATACGTCGACTATTGATGATCGATGTATAGAATTGTCAATTATCCATAAAGAAAGGGAGTAAAGTAAAAGTATTATTTACGTCATCACTAAATGCAATTAACTAAAATTATAATAAACCCCTTCATAGGTTGCGATAAAAATTATTTCGAAGAAGGAAGCTCCATCTGAATACATTAATAAGTTCATGCCTCGAGAAGTGGACGCCTTAAAGGTCACCTACAAACACCCAAACCTCGTAAGTTCAGTTGCCTTTCACATGTAACATATTATGATTTAATAACTTCGATATTTCGTCGTTAAATTCTTCTTCCTTAAATCAGGGAACAGTGACATTTCACTGTTCCCTGCTTAAATGGACAAACAAAAATAGGAGAAGCAATGTATAGAATACGTGCTCACAACCAGGTCTAGGGGTAGAGCGCAGTTGAAGTTGTACCGTACAGGGTGGGTTGGGTGGAAGTCCCAACTTGAAGTATAATGTAGGAATTACTTTGATTTGCGGTTAGTATTGAAGTGGTACATATAGATAAATATTTATTTTTCATAAAAATTTGTTGCCACTGGATTTATTAGATTTTAACACGCACCGATTACAATTTAGTTATCAGAGGCCAGCAAAATGCGTAGTGACTGATCAAGGCGCAGGGTTCCAACCTCAGCCCTAACATGGTTCGGTTGTGACGAAGGTTTAATGTTGTTAGAATATGGCACCTAAAGGCTCTTGGCAATAGCACAGTCACACTCTCCCGACGGGGTGGTGGGGAGGTGGCGAATTGCTCGGGGGGGGGGGGTGGCGAATTGCTCCCCCAAACTCCCACTGGAATTTACTAGAGCCACCGCACCGAATTTATCAATTTAATTTCAGGTCCAGTTGTATGAAGTGTTTCGGACAGACATTCGTATCTACCTGGTGGTAGAGTATGCCCCAAATGGTGATATCTTATCGTACATAAACGAATGCGTACTGCAGAATGGATGTGGGATAAAGGAGGACAGAGCTAGACACCTTTTCAAGCAAATAATCGCTGGCGTAGCACACTGTCACAACCTTAATGTTGTTCACAGGTAGGTTTTCCAGTGGTCCCAAGTAGGAAAAGTCCATTCTGGGAGATCTGCGGTGGCGGAAATAGAGTGGGGGAGGGGGATTGGGGTGCTAAAAAGTAAGAAAGTTTATGATTATGTCAACTATTTATGACCTGATAGTACTCTCAGACTAATATAAATTTCTTTTTTTTCTCCATTTTTTAAAATAATTTAGACAAATTTAGGGGGATCTCGGCCGGCAATGAAACGAAAACACAGTACTACCACAAGATAGATAGATAGACAGACAGACAGACCGACAGACCCACCGACAGACAGACAGACAGACAGATAGATAGATAGATAAGGGGAATGTAATAAAGGTCAAAAAAGAAGAAAAAAAACCAGTTCTTGTCATGTTCGACCTATAAACACACACATTGTAAGCATACATGATACATAGGCCTACGCACACCTTAATAAATCAATGAAATAAAATAAATAAAAAGAATATGTGAATAAATAATTAAATTAATAAATTAAAAATAAGTAAATAAATAAATAGAATAATAAACTAATAACAAATTATAACATAAGCACTACTTCGATCAAAATATTTTAACTATTATTATGACGCACTTGAATATTTATTTATTTATTTATTCAACTGAACATACACTTTTGTTTCAGTGGCACACAACATTTCGGTGCGTTCAATGAGAAAGAAAAACAACTAAACTAAAAGAAACTAAAAGTTATACAAAACAATTATACAATAACAGTATTCAGTACTGTATTGGTTTTGAAGCAAAATCCACTAAATAAAAAACAACATTACTGTAGTAATACTATTTTTAGAGTTAACAAATTATTACGTTATTAAGATACAGATAAGCACAAAAAA